AGGTTTCGCACGGCAGTCCGCGCTGTACGCAAGATAGCTATCATCAGTGATTAGTAAACACGCAACTGCTCGCGTGTCGATAAGGTACATTTTTGTGCATGGGCCTGCTTCCATGTGGAGGTCCTGATTAGTAGTGTCACTGTTTTACTCCAGTTTTCGCATGCTGTTTAAGTCCAGTGAGGCCGTGGTTATTCCGCTGAACACCTCCATTTCACTCTGGGTCCAAAAAACAGTACAGGCGCACAAATGTTTACATCAATTGCTTGACTCTGGACTGGAGATGACATTACGGCATCGTAAATGATATCAAAAACCGATTTCAAGTCATTGCTTGTTGTCATATATATGGGATACTTGTCCATTTAGTTATATTACGACTGGCAGAAGAGGAGACTCTGACAGTTATGTTCGTTATATGTCATTGACATTGTAGTTCCCTTTCTTTGTCTTCAGCGTGTTCGCTTACACTTTTCTAGCTGATATAAAATTCATTCCAGGAAACGCAGTTGCTTCTTAATGTGACAGCAACAGCGCTTCCTGCCTCGCTATGGTAATAGTTGCCTGGCCCATTCTGAGATGTGAAATACAGACGGGAAGGACACACTCGACGGGTATCGCCATCCGCCACATTGAATGTTCATTTGCACGTGTCGCACAATACCCGAAGGACCGTCCGTGCTGAAAGCGTCCAAAACTCTGTGAGCGCCCGATCGACAGATGGCGTGGAAACTCGAGAAGTGGAAAACACCTTCGGTGCGACCTGGTCGGCGAAGCATTTGCGTGTGGAGTCGGAAGATCGACGGAACAATTCGGCACGCTCGCAGTACTCAGGTGCCTGCGAGCCGACGCTCTATCCGAACCGGTCATCCTCAAAATCAGAACCTTCCATCAGGGCCAAATCCACGAGGAGGTTCTAGCGGATACATCGCCTGCGCGTTTACCGTCATCCCCGTCGCACCGGCGTCCTTACGTGCCGAGTGCGATAGGCATGCAACAGGGCGCAGACCGAGCTTTCCGCCGCAATTCGCGGGCGTGCGTTGCGGTGGCCAAAGCGTGAACGTGTGGCTTTAGAAGTAATGTACGTGTGACTGCGGTAATCGGACCATCGGACGACTACACAGACGAGATGCTTCGTGAAGTCCTCTCTGCCGGCATCACTGACATAGACATGACGCCGTGAGCGCGTCTCGCGCTGGGATATTCAAAGAAGCTCTGTGAACGATCCCGTCATTGCCGCTTCGGTTCGAGCAGCAAGAACGGAGCGGACGCGGGGCCGGTGGGGAGCTCGGCGAGCCGCGCGCCGCATAAACAACACACACAACAACACAACCCACACACACAACACACACACACACACACACAACACACACACGACACACACACACACACACACACACACCATACACAAACACATACACTACACGCACACACAGACACACACATACACTACACGGACACACAGACACACACACCCAACACGCACGCACGCACACACACACACCACACACACAAACGCGCGCGCGCACACACACACACACACACACAAACACACACACAAAACGCGCGCGCGCCACACACACACACGCGCGCGCGCGAATAAACACACACAACACACACAACAACCCACCACACACACCCACGCATAAACACACATACACACGCGCGCGCGCATAAACAACACACATCACGCAATACACAAACACATACACTACACAGCGCAATAGACACACACAGCACATACACACACAATACACTACACGCCACACGCACACCACACACACACACACACAACACACACACACACACACACACACACAAACACACACACACACACACACACCACAACACACACACACACACCATACACACAAAAACCGCGCGCGCGCGTGCGCATAACACACTAACTAAAAAAATAAGATAGCTTGTAAGATATTATTAGAATCAGTCTGAACGTTGTACGTTTTACGTTTACGGTTGAAATCTGACCTGCGACATCAGGAGTTTCTTGACAGCGGGTGATTTTGCGGGCGGTATTTGTCGATTGCTATATCTCGCGTGTCAATGATGCCTTTCTTTTGGTGGCATTAGCTGGGCATTTGCCGTGGGAAGTTTGACTTATGTTATAACGAAATGCACTCTATTTAAGAAAACAATGTAAAAACAATGTATAACATTTTTTGTTAGATTAGATGGAGCGACTCAGAAAATCTTAGATGGAGCGCCTTTGGTTATACATTGTTTTTTTACATTTCCATTGTGTTTTCGTGTTGTGACGTTGCACCGCGCTTGGTGCAAAAATTTCGCACATATTTTTATGTTTTTGAACGTGAATGTAAAAAAATGAAAACTGTGAAGAAGAAAATAGCCATGCAAACGTCATGATCTGTAAAATGCTTCCGACCAAGTTTGGAGAGGCACTCCGTTATAGGAAGGAACGTATAGCCGGACACACACACACGACACACACACACACACACCACACACACATCACACCACACATACAGCACACACACCCACAACACACACACACACGCACACACGACACACTCACACACACACACACCACACCACACACACACACACGAACAATAACCACAAACACACTAACCGACCCCAATTGTATTATAAGATTACATTAGCCGCAGTACACACCGGAGCGAAGGAATCGGGTCGAAAAACGACCCGTAGTGAGAAACGACACGGAGCGTCGTTGAAGAGAGCGTTCACACGACGCTATGCGAGCTGTGAGCTGAGAAAAAAATACAATACGTTGTGCGCGCTCTTCCCGATCTGTTGTTGTTATCAACAACTTTCTTGTACGTGTTTCTTAATCTCTTGAGGCGATTACTCACTTGCAGAATAGATTTTATGATCCCTCGCATTGCCAGTTTTTCTACGATGTCTTGATAGACTACTCGATTTCTCGATGTCCCCGTTAGTTGTTCCTGAATAAAATCAGTTTTCCAGATCTCCAAAAGAGCGACGTTCTCCTCGTGTAACCATAGTTCTGCTCTTTGTTTGGCCATTTATATATTTATACTAGTATATTAGTAAAAATACTGAAATGTGTAGATCGAAACTGTTGTTATTGTACAATGCCCGTTAGGGTGGTCAGAACTTTGACTAACAAAATGCTCTACCTTTAAGAAACATTGTAAAAACAATGTATAAAATTTCTCTGATTAGATTTAGATGGAGCCCCTTTGGTTATACATTGTTTTTTTTACATTGCCATTGTGTTTTCGTGTTGTGACGTACTAATTCCAACCCGAGTCGCGCGTTCACACGGCAAAAATGAACCAGGACAAGAGTCGTTTTCGTACCGAGAAAACGTCCGTGTGAACGCTCGTCCCTGGACGCATTTGACACGGGTCGTTTTCGACCCGAGTTCCTTCGCTCCGTGTGAACGCGGCTATTACACCAAATAGATAAGATTAGAAGTTATCTATTTATCGAATCCTATTTTTCTAGAATTTTAAGGTTCAACATTTTTGATTCTACATATATATAAAATCGTCATTTAATATTTAAATGGATTTTAGTTCAATTATGTGCATATTATATGAGTATATCGTTGCGTTATAGCTTCCCCTGTGGCTGAGGACTCGCCTTCCGAAACCGTGAGGGCGCCACCCGCTCAGGAGGCGAATTTAATTCCTGAATCTCCAGCATCTCCGACCATACAGCCGGTGCTACCAAGATCAGCCTCCTCTCCTGCTCTGCTGTCGCATCCCGAGATCGCACCTCCAAATCCAGGTAATCCTCACACCCGCCGTCGTTTAGAACTTTTACATTTGTAGGTATATTATAATATTTGTATATAAATGTGTAGGTAAATACAAGCGCACAAATAAAATATGCGGCTAGATAACTACGAAGCATAAATATACAAAAAATATGACGAGCACGCGTTTTCATGAGTTTGTGTGCCGCCGGTAGTGGTGGCGTCCAGAAATTGGGCCATGAAGATATTACATTAGACCACTTCTGTTTGTTTCAGCTGCCCAGCGTTACAAGGAGGTTGGCTTCCGTAACTATGTGATGGTGGCTGCTGTCGTGTTCCTAGCTGTTGTTATGACGTGCGTTATCTGGGACAGCGCTCGTAGCGGAACACCACGTGAGATAGAATGGTTCGCGATTTCCTGGATGGACGTGAAAAAAATAGTGAGTTCGATTAAAAGTAGACTCGATTAGGATTCGATTAGGATTAGGATTTCGTTTAGGATTAGGATTTCGTTTAGGATTAAATTTAGATACAAAATAGGTTCGATTTAGGGCTATGGCTATGATTAATGTTACAGGTAGGGTTAGGATTAGGGTTAGGGTTAGGGTTAGCTTTAGGGTAGATGGTAGGATAACGAGGCGGCAGAGCATACGGACAAAAATTGATGAACTTAAAGCGAGAAATCGCCGGAACAAGAGCGGGGAGAAAGTTGTAAGTAAGCTATAAGTAAACAATTCATAATTTGTCATTACTATAATCTGTAATGCATTTCTGTCTTTGTTTACAGGTGATGTCTTAAGCATATGACGTAATGTCATGTTCGTGACTCTGTGGAATTCTGAGTGCACTGGCCATCTACATCTAACTTCCTCAATAATAACTGTCGATCCGGTATCTTTTCTCTGTCGGATAAAGTTCATCATATAAAGTTCCGCCTGCAATATAGGCCTATGCCGCTGCCAAATGCAGAGTGGTATAGGCTCTGGGGGGGGGGGGACCCTAACCCTAACCCTAACCTATTATATTGATATAATATTATATTTATATTGATGTAAATGACATTGGTTTTGTTGGGACCCATGTTCTCTATCCTTGAACCACTGTGGCCGTTGACCCACCACATGTAAAATACCTCTATTTCATGTTATCGCCTAGTATCACAATTACATGACGTTTGCCAAACGGTTGGTAAACGATTTAGATGTATTAAACAAACACAGAGATTGACTGACAGTAACGGGAACAAATTTCATACAAAACTCACAACATTACGTACCTACACCGCCATACTTCTCGGAGCAACAGCCGCCGCAAACGGCGATGGTCAGATGTTTCTTCGATTAATATTTTTTTTATTTCACATTTCTTCATTAGCAGACGATAATTATGGTCGGCTATTTTACAGAGATCACGAGTATATTATTATAAATACCGTATACTGTCTTTGATATTATTAAATAATACAATACATCGCAAATTTAAATAACAAACAAATGTCAATATATCATAATGCGTAGGCGAACGCGAACGTGTGAAGCGCACAAGAAAGACCACGCAGCGCCACAGAACGTCACACGTACAGCATAAAAATCTAACATAAAAATCAGAACAGCTAGCAAATGTTGTAAACCCCTCGACGATTATTAATGATAACACTCAATAGTCATATTAGCCTATATACATAAGCTTCAATATGCATTAGTAATCTCATAAACACGTGTTCAACAACCCTGTGTTACGTTACACCCCGTTACACGTACTTTCGTGAGTGGACGGCAGTATTTTCAGTTTGCGAGATAGGACCATTTTTAATTATGCAGGATTCGACAAATACCAGATAATTTTTTCCCTGATTCGGGGATAGAAGTCTACATTTACGCGAGAAAGCCGAAATTTGGATTTTAATTAACCGGGAACTGTGAGCTGGTGCTTACTGGGAAACTTAGGATGGGCCCCCGTTCCCCTTCATATGTGAAGTCTGCTATACGGCTACATAGAAATGAATATAATTATTTCTAAATGCAGAGAAAGATAAAAAGAATAGAGAAGGATAAAAAGAGAAAGAGATAGATGGACGGCAGAATATCAACCTGATTTCTCTTTTAAACAATCCCTTCCCAAATAATCTCGCGTCATCTTTGCCAACGACAGAGTATAATGACGTCACATAGCTATAGAGTATAATGACGTCACATAGCTATAGAGTATAATGACGTCACATAGCTATAGAGTATAATGACGTCACATATTGCTAGGCGCTCGTTTATTCTTAGCAACGGCTTAACTTTGTATTCGTTACTCTAAACGAAGACAACGTGGTTTTATCTATCGTATGCTCAATAACAGTTCCAACATCGTTTCATCGTCCGACAACGTTTCTTTTGACGTAAGTTATTTCTATTTTATAGTTTTCAATTAGATAAATTAATTAAAATAACATGACATAGTTCAAGACAAGCTTAAACATTTGCGATAGAGAAGGAGAGAGAGGGAGAGAGAGAGAGAGAGAGAGAGAGAGAGAGAGAGAGAGAGAGAGAGAGAGAGAGAGAGAGAGAGAGAGAGAGAGGGAGAGAGAGAGAGAGAGAGAGAGAGAGAGAGAGAGAAGATGAGAGAGAGAGAGAGAGAGAGAGAGAGAGAGAGAGAGTGAGCGATGTTTAGCTGTACCCTGTGATCGTTATATCAATGCGCGTTCTTTTTATTTTCACAGTGAATCGCGAAGATGATTGGCATTCTGCTGGCGTTGGTACAGGCGTACAACGCGAACCGTCCTCCATCTGCTCGTACCTCTCCACGTCCAACATATAATCCTGATTATGATCACTTGGATCCTTGCATATTCTACCACCCAAGTGGATCCTGAACGTAAGCGTATTTATGAAAACTTGTTGTTTTAGAATAAATTTCAAGCCACACGTACAGAAGGGATCCTATTAGTATTATAATAGGGCGGGTCAGAAAATACACCAGTGTGAGACCCAAGGGATGAAGACGGGGCAAAATGCATTATTAAAATACTAAATAGCCAGCCTTATATAATAATAATATAAATAATAATAATAATAATAATAATATTAACAATAGAGGAGAATAAATATATTATTATTTGACGCGTAACTTTACACGATGACAGAGAAAAAGCCGCGTGTGTGCTAATTATATCTACATGCAGGAATATTTGATAGCATTCATCCACGGAGGTGTACTTTTGATGTTCACAACTGTTCTTGCAGACAACCTCAAAATTAATTTGATTATATGGACACTATTTCCAAGTGGCCCTTAGGTGTCAAACTTCTGTTACACATACACAGAGTACTCACCCCACAATCACACACACACACACACACATACACACACACACAACACACACACACACACACACACAGACGACACACAGCGCACACACACACACACAACACACCCCACACACACACACATATATCCACACACAAATGCGCGCGCGCACCACACACGCGCGCGCGCATAAAAGCACACACAAAACACACGCGCATATACAAAACACAAACACATCCACACACACGCGCGCGCGCGGCGCATAAACACACACACATGCAGTGGCGTAGCGGCAGGGGGGGGTGTTAAACACGCCGCCTTTCCTTTTGTCCCAAACAAGACGTTAAAAAAAAAAAGAAAGAGGAGAGGAGAACGGGAAGAGAGAGAGAGAGAAGAGAGAGAAGAGAGAGAAGAGAGAGAGAGGAGCAGAGTGTGTGTGTGTGTGAGAGAGGAGGGAGATAAAGAGGGAGAAGAACAGAAGGGCCCTAATTTCCTGTTTTTATTAAGTTAGTATTTGTAAACACTGCGCCCTCCCGAGCTGAAGGCTGAAGGTCGTATGGCGCGGCGGCCGGCTTGATGTACGCGATTCGATCGCGTACTAATATCGTAAGCGCATGCTAATCGTGCTATAGCTGCCGCGGTAACACTTCGGTTACTCGTCGTTCAAAGGGACGATCTAATTGAGCCTCCAGCCAGATCGGGTAGCTCAAAATATATCCTCTACTTTAGCGCAATCCTAGAGCGGTATTCTAACAACATGGCATGTAACTGCGTTTACGATTCACAGTTTCTTGCATCTTTTCATCAATAGAAAATATAATTTTTGGAACTTTCTTAGGTACGTAAAAGTGACAAGAGTCGGAATATTTGAATTATGTATGATCGCCAGGCGTATCTTTGAATTTTTTTTGAAAGCGCCTCTAAATAGTGACGCACAGTCGCACATTTTTCACCCGGCGAAATGTGAAAGAGCGGGCGGTGACCCGAACCAAAGGTAATTTTTTGGTCGGCATTATTAGGCCAATAAAG